GGGTCTTTTTTCCCTAAATAATAATAATAAAAAAAATAAGTTAAACAATATCAGAATCAGAATCATGATATATATAATTAAAAAATGCAAAACAAAAAACATGTATACTTACACAACAGTATCAGAATCAGAAACCACTTGCAATTTAGAATCAGCTACTGTTTTAGCCTTCTTAGATACAATTTTAGACTTCTTAGGAGCTGCTTTAACCTTCTGAAACTCTGCTTTGGCCTTATTAGGAACAGTTTTAGCCTTCACAGTTTTAGACTCTGGTTTGTCCTTCTCAGGAACCGTCCTGCTCTTTTTAGGTACTGTTTTGCCCTTAGCAGACTCTTTACCCATTGCTTTTCCCCTTGAAGGCGATTTATAACGATATCCACCTATTGAACCACCTATATCTAATTAATACAGAGAATAATCATAAATTACAAATTCACAAATTACTCATGGGAAAATTCAGAATATATGCATAAAATCCTTTTAAATGCAAAAAGTGACCCTTTTAAATGAATAAAGTGACCCTTTTAACTGCATAAAGTCACCCTTAAAAATACAACAAGTAACCCTTTTAACTGAAAAAGTAACCCTTTAACAAGCATAAAGTGACCCTTTTAAATATATAAAGTGACCCTTTTAACTGCATAAAGTCACCCTTTAAACTACAACAAGTAACCCTTTTAAATGAAAACGTGACCCTTTTAACAGTATAAAGTGATCCTTTTCACAGCATAAAGTCACCCTTTTAACAGCATAAAGTAACCTTTGTCATGCATATAAATAACATATATATCTATTACTCACACACAATGCACAATGCACAATGCACATATTACTGTTACTCAAACACATATACACAAACACAATGCAGATATGCATACTATTCTCATAATCTAACTAAAATCTAACATACAAAATTTGAAGAATAATAAGCAACGAATAAAACTTCTGAAAACAAACATGCAAAATTTGTTTCACATATAACAACACCACAACACATGTATAACAAATTTTGAACCAATTATCACAATGAACAATAAAATAAAGCAAAATTAAACATAATAACTTTAAAATTAAAATTCAATTATCATAATATGCATAAAAAATCAACAGAAAACTATAAAAAATAACATGCACTACTAATTCGACATATATAAGCGAAAATTCAATTGAAAATTTGAAAAAATGTTGAAAAATTTAAATAAACACACCTTCTTCAGCATCTACAGCCTTCTTTGTAATCTTCTTCTTCACCATTGCAGAATCAAACACTACGAAAATCGAAAACAAAATCAAAAAAACCTAAAAATCGAAGAATCAAAACAACTTAAACTAACAAAAATCTCAAAAAAATAAGTAAACGAACTTGAATTAAGCAAATAACAACTTCACCAGTGAAAGAGAAGAAAGAAAAAGCTCGAAAATCAACAATGGAGGAGAAAGAAAACGCTCAAAATCGGAAGTTTTAGAGAGAGAAATCGCCAATTCAGAGTAAAAACGAGGAGAGAGAAAGAAGCTGGTGAGTGAATGAATGAGGAAGAGAGAGAAAGTGTAATTTGTTGGCAGTTTTATTTTCGCAATCATGAGATTGCACGTGCGAGACAATATAATTGGCAGTTGTTGGTTTCCACAACTTCCGCCATTCAATAAAATATTGTACACCGGCTTTAATTAAACATTTGTGTAAGAAAAAAAGGAAGTTTACATCTAGATCATACGTAAGTGTTACATACCTAGTTGAAAATATGTTTACTTGGTATATTCTTTCAGATAAAATAAGTTTATTTCAAAAAAAAAAAAAAACAGATATTAACTACATAGTACGAAGTATTATACTACTTCATATACGGATTAGTATAAAGAAGTCCATTTGGTTTTCTTATTAAAATAAAATTAAAATAAAAAGCCATTACTTTTGTTCCTTTTTATTTCCGATTTCCCTACAATAAATAATGAAATATGGCTCGCTAATAATTTGAAGGATTTTACAAGAATATTGTACATGTAATTTTAATCAAGCTCTTGGTGATTTAAGTGATTGACAAGGCAATGCAAGAAGTGTATTTTGATATGGTATGATCTAATAATTTATTGTATAGCTATTTAATTAAGCATTAAAACGTCATAAGACTCATAACACAACGTACTTAAATAATACTCCCTCCATTTCATAATGTTAGTCCCATATACTATTTTGGGCATTTCAAAAAGATGTACCCATATTGAATATATTTCATTTATAACTTGATTGTTTAGAATTAATTGATTTTGGATTGATGACATAACTATAAATAAGGAAATTTTTAACTTAAATTATGCAATTATAACTTGTGTTTTCCTAATAAAAAATAAAAAAAGTTAAACAAGGTAAACTAATTATGAATTATGTTGTACTTTAGTGTTAGATTCCAAATATATTTGTTTTCTTATTTTATGTAATTGATTTCATATGGGACTAATATTATGAAACGGAGGGAGTATAACAAGTTTTTTTTTATTTATGTTTGTAGTAGCCATTTAGGTACAATTTTCCAATGAAAAATCGACATGTACTAACCCAATATAGCTTGGCTTTAGCTTGGCTCATTCAAAGCACAAACGATTTAAGCACAAGGCAAGTGAGCATGAAAATGGACTTATATTGCTTGACCCATGTGTCGTGCAGTGCGAGGCCGTTGGGTGCCCTTATAGATTTTATATTTTTAATAAATTGGTCAAAAATAAGGTGTTGCTTGTTTGATATAGAAATTTACTTCTTATGGAAATTTGTATTTTATGGGAATTAAATGAAGAAATACAAGTCAATCAGGCTGATTTACCAACTTTGTAAATCAAGGGGGTATATTGGTAATTTCATCAATAAAATGGGGACAAATAAGTAATTGAAATCTTCTTCTCTTTTCACATCATTACATCAATGGCTATTTAAATTGTTCTCCTCCTTTCTCCCCATGAGCAATACCATTGTCATTGAGATAAAGATGTCGCCACGAGGAAGGTGATTTCCCTAAAGGGTTAGTATGACCCTAAATTTACACTCTTTGCTACTAGGGTGTCGTTTTATTACTATCGCGAAGCGGCATTGGGTCATTGCGGTTGAGAAAGGATGAACAAGAAGAGGAAGCCTCCATGGTTGATCGACGGGAAGATGGATTGTGGTGGTCATAAATCTCGTGATGGACTTCAAGCGGTGGTGGTTGTTACGAACTTGCGATCGTGATACTGACTATTGAGTGGATTTGAAATCCTAAAATCTGGGTTTTATTTATTTATTTTTTTTTAAAAAAAAAGTTGCAAAAAATTACTCAACTACCACCTGATTTACAATGTTTGTTGATCAGGCTGATTGACTGGGTATTCCCTTAATTAAATACCTACATCCAATTCCTAGGAATTATCTAAATTAAACTTGTTTGGTTCAGATGAAGGAAGTTGTAAATCATGGGAACTTTGCCTTACCTAAGGGAAGTAAGGTAATTAACTTCCCATATATTTGTGAGAAGTCACAATTTCCATGAATTTACAATTCTCACATTCACACTTTTTATCGTCAACTAAACAACTCATAAGCTGCTGAACATCATTTTGAAAATAACATCCAAATTAATCACTGAACACAGCCAATGGTCCATCGACGTGCTTCTAGTGTCTTATTGGCCTTACGTCAATAAGCTTGGCTGCCTACACTACGTTTGTGTTGTGCCTATTAATTAACCAACCCTCATGTGTCTGACCCATGCTTATGCATTACACTTATACTTATGCATGGTGTAGTTTCATTTATAATAATAACTCATAAATAAATAAATAACAAACTTTATAATTTTTAAAATTGAATGAAAACCAAATTAGAGCAAATTTTCTCCTTTTTTTTTTTTTTTTTTTTTTTTTTTTGAATGGAATCTAAACTACTCCGTACATTCCTACAGCTTAAACATTGTTCAAATGTTTGGTTTGATGAACATGTCTAAGCTAACTTGTTAAATTAATGTCCAAAAATAATGCAGAAGTAACAAAGACGTTAGACGTAGATATATACCATTACGTACGTAGAGTCGTTGTCATGGTGCTTCATTTTCTTAGACATTACAGGGACGGAACTTGAGAATGTGTTGTGCTTTGGCCAGCTATGCTTGCTTGGCTTGCCTTACGGGTACATACGTCGTAGTGGCCACCTGATTATTAGCTACGCCGATGTTGAAGCTCGATGACAATAAGGGCATGTAGGCCATTGATGGAGGAAGAATGATGGTATAGAACACTAAACATGCATCCAAATTAATTAATGGGTTGGAAAATACTACGAAGCTAATTAAGAGTTTATGGTGAATATGTTGCTTAAAATTGCATGGGTATGTTACTGTAGGCTTTGACATACGTTTTACTTCAAATTTTTAGATTCTTAGTACGTACTCTATAGTAGGGACTCCTTTTTTTATTATTTTTTTTTGAAATGAAGTAATTTTTACCAAAATTCATTCATAAAGTCGAATTTGTGATGCTTGTGAAGTGTTTATGAGCCGAATGATACAATTAGTCAATTAATATACAACTTAGTAACTTACTATGGAGCACATATGAAGTAAGATTTTGCACTACAAAAAAAAAGTATTGTAAAAGATAAAGAGAGATTACGATTTAAACTTATAACAATATGATTGAAGCATTTGTAAATTAATGTATGTTTCTATTCGAAAAAAAAAAAAATTAATGTATGTTTAACCTAACAAGCTGTATCTATTAAATAAAATTAAAAAAAAAAAGTTAAAGGCCTGTATAAATATCACTTAGTTATTCCCATTGTGTCATGGTATTAAATTATTAATTATCATACTTGTAATTATTTATCATCATCTTCGCTTGTCTTATTAAATCTGATTTTGCGCCTATAAATGATCTTCCTGAACAATATCATCCGTTCAAAACTTCAAACTCATACTAAGCTATATTGTAACAAAGGATAATGATTATGCAACAAACACATACACTACAATAATATAAATTTCATGGTATAAAACTTTTGAGACGAGTTTATACATATATTATATATATCTATAAGACTATAACGAACTTGATCAAAAAAATCGATCTAACTAATATTTATGGCTAAATAAACTAAACTAAGATCGTATACATAAATTTGTGATTTTCAACCAGTCTCTCAAAAATTCTATGATATGATCAATTGTGTAATTTCGACAATAGATCCAAAACAAGTCTGGCTACTAGGCCGAGTACATTGTATAGTACCATGATATAATGACAAATTTTAGACCAAGCTAGCTAGCTTATAAGCAAGCCAACCCTTAATTTGCTTCAGATCCTTTCATTAACCTAAGCCGTTTGCAAGAATCAAGAAACATTTCCCATGGAACATCTCCAACCAACATCCAATCTCCATCTTTGTCTTCATAAGTTGGTTCATCCTTTCCAGCTTTAAAGGTGAACAACTCTTCTAGTGCCTTTAAGAGTTCCTTGTAATCTTTGTATTGTTTTAGATCAACCTTTCTTAGATAAGGAGTTCCATCCATGCTAACCTTGACGTACATCCTTGAGGATTCTTCTTTTGATTTTGTGATTTGGAGGCTATTTTTTCTGTAAGATCTGATCGGAGGCCATCCAATTGCTTGTACCCTATAGATAACAAGTCGCAAAATACAATTAGTATCATGAAAAAAAAAATATATGAAATAAAAAATAAATAGTGCGTGAAAAGAAAAATCAAGTGAATAAAACACATTTAAATCTAAATGTATGCGATCAATCTACTTACTTTGGTGGTGGAGTTGGGTGGTCATCATGGCAATCTTCAACACACGAAGTGGTAGACGACTCATCATCATTAGTTTCCAAAAATGATCTTTTCTTCTTATTAGATCCATTTGTTCCTGGTAACCCTAATCTCAACTCCGTGTCTTCATGAAAACCCAAATTATCGTTGCTCTTTCCCATTGTTAATGATACACGACCACGAAAGCAAAAACAAAGCTCGATTTGGATCCTTTAACAACTTTGAATCAGTAATCGAAGCTTGTAATAATCTTGTGCACGTTAGAAATAAGTTGTAGATGCTTTAAAAATAATGAATTGAAAGTTAAAGTTGTATTGATGATGAGATGAAGCACAAAACTATGTGCTATATATACACTCATAGAATTGTATAAAAGTGGTTATAGTTAGAGCACGTTTGGTGTAGTTGGCATTGTGATTGGAAGACAGAATTAGCAAGTCATTAGTTAGTTGTCTCTTAACAGCACATGCCCTTGTTTATCACTACTTTTGGTCTGTAGAGTGTATATTACTTCCTAGCTTTTAAGACAATTATTATTTGAACAAAATATAACTTTTATTTACTGTCTTCTACGACTGTATTTCCTCTCTATTTCTCTAATAATGTTATATAAAGTTTTATTAAGTTTTTGTTTTGTTTATTTATCACCATATATCATGACTAAAAAATATGGATACAACCTTTAAAAATAAATTTGATACTTATGCATTATTATTTGGTAAAATTAACTAAGTTTATTTGTATATGATCATAACTCTATAGTCAATAATATAATCCATCAATTTCAATTACTCACTACTCAATTTAATTGTGATCAATCCGATCACAGCCCTAAATTTTTATAGTCAACACGCCGTCTATATCAATTACTCTCTACTCGATTTATTTGTGATCAATCTGGTCATAACTCTAAATTATAGTCAATACACTATCAATTTCAATTACTCACTACTCAATATATTTGTGATCAATCTGATCATAGCTCTAAATTATAGTCAATTAGTATGCCATCAATTTCAATTACTCACTACTCTTTTTATTAAAATAGATAGATACGATAAATTTAAATCTGCCATATTCATAATACGCGCTACCATACACATGTCACGTGAAATACAAGTAACAAATAACACACCTCATCACTTTTGTGTACCTTTGTGTATAGTATAGTGTATTCTTGTGTAGTGTTTCTTTAGTTTCTTTTGTGATTAATGAATTCACCCCCAACCTATTATCTCATATACACTCATGTATGTATGTGTCATCTCTTGTGTCAAACTCTTAATCTCTCACTTTTCGTTATTAATTGCATTTCTTTTACCAAGTTAAACTTAATGATTCAATATTATTATAGCAGTTAGATTTTGAAATTTGATTTGATATATATAGTCAACTGTTCCATATAGAGTAAAATTACAGATTATTTTGTACAAATTACATAAAATATGACATTTCTAACCAAAACATGCACCACGTTAGTTATACATCAAATTAATTAGTGATTATTTCACCCCAAGATGGAATACAAATTAAAAAATAAATCACATATTAAACGTCAATCATAAATACACACACAATACACCCGATTTGATATAGATTACCACTCCGTATAATGAAAATCGCAAATCCACCCAAGATACCAAAGTATATACACACATTATACATATATATAATGTACTCATTATTTTGACAAGAATAATAAGAATGTTGATTTGTATCCACACCACATATCAAATAATTAATATGATCATATATGTATCCGCATGACCGCGTCCTCCGACCCAAAGTCATGGGTGTCAATTAAATGGTCCAGATCTTCAAGCTGTTGTTTGCAAGATTTTGCAGGGCATTTTCATGTGGGATAGTTCTCTCAACCACCACCATCTACTCTCATCCAACGGTCCACATTACTTTCTAAATTCAATCATAACCACCCAAATTAGGGTTCTTATTTATTAAAAAAAAATAGGGTTTGCATTAACGTATGTCCTAAGCTTGTCCCTAAAATTAGAGCTAGTGTGACCTACACGTCTACGTTACAACTACTATCCTTATCCAACTACATGCATTTCAGATTTCTTGCTTTCGAATTGTCGGTAAAGTAATAAAAGTCATTATATATCTCATAATTATGATTATGATTTTATTTAATTTTATATAACCTATGATATGATGTATGTTTTTTTTATCACACTATAAAATGGGTTATATTTACGTAGTTATTTGCTAGACCACAATTATAATTAAGATCATATTTAATTGAACACGTATATAGATATGATCAAGTTTATATTTAAAGCCCTTAATTTAGGTCGTTTGAACTACGTAGTACAAGCTTACACACTTTAATCAAAATAAAATATGCTTTGAACCCATAACCTCCAATACATATAGGTAATACATTTACCATTTCAATCAACTACTTCCTCCAGTTACGTATTACTCGCAACAAAGGGATATTATTTGTGAAACATAAAATATTTCTTTGTTACGAGTAATATGTAACAGATGGAGTATTATTAATGTTTCAAGTTTTACATAATATTATACTACCTATATTCCTTTCATTTATTAAGTAAATTATTGGTAATATAATTCATTTATTTTCCACAACATTATAATTTAAACACAAACTTTTTAAAAAATTGGGTGTACAATAATTATTGTATATCCATTATAAAGATAGCCTAAAGTGATCAAAAGTTACCCCTAAAATGAATAAAAGTTACCCCAATATGCATAAAAGTAACCCAATATATATAAAAATTATCTACGCTTTAATGGTAAAGAATCGCATTTTAAATGATTAAAATTCAATTATTGGTGATTGAATGTAATTAAATTAGCATTATAAAATTTTTCTTATTGTCAATTTATATAAAAATTGTATTATGTTTAAAGTTATCCAAAAAAGGCAAAAAGTTATCCTAAATTAGCTAAAAGGTACCCTTATACTGCTTGATGTACACTAATATATATTAGCGTAAGGCGGGTGTATACAAAAGTTAATCTAATATAAATACATATGATGTAAAAAAAAGTGACATCCAAGGCAACGCCCAAACCACTGCACACACTAATTATACAAATTAAATAATCGAACATAATTGTTAAATTAAAGCAAGAATTACACAAACTAGCAACCCGGGACAATCACTAGCTAACTTTCTATAAGCTGATTGCATACACAACCATTTGTTACAAGTTATTATGGTTCTTGATTAGAATCAAAGAGACAATGGTTTAATAGATAGTAATAAGAATTACTAGGGGTGACAAAGTTAAATCTTTGGAAATTGGTGATGTTCAAACTTTAAGCTACATCAAATATTCTTTTACTTCTATATCATCTTAGATTCTTAGTAGAATCTAATGTTTTCAATCTCAAGGTATTAGTCATTGCGTATTCGTACTAGTATGGTATTTGTTGTTACTTTCTAGGAGTGGGATGCAACTGGGTGTAAGGGAAAAAAAAAACATAGCTAAAGTTAGAGAAAGAAAACAATAGAAAAGGTGTAGATATTGTGAGGTACAAAAGGTAAGAGTGCATACGTTAATTGAAAAAAAAATAAGTGTTAGGATTAAATAGGTTGAATTAATAAGTTCAGATCAGATCAGAAAAAATAAGTGTTAGGACTAAACAAGTTAAATTATGACTTATTAGGTACAATCAAGTTTAAACATAATATATTGTAAAATGTTTAATAGACTTATAGGATTCAAAGCTTAATCTATATCTATATAAATAAATTAAAGGAACAACCGCTGATATCATATTGTCCACGTGACAGCTTTAAAAGAAAAAAAATTTCGCCTAAATAAAAATTTGATGTCATTATATTTTCTTTGGTTTCAAATTTCAAATTTAATTTCTCCTCCTCTCAATTTATCTATTCTCTTAAATTTATTTATTTTTCTTCTATCACCAACTATTGGTATCTAATTCATCTTTCCCTTATGCCTTATTGAACAAAATACTTTGATGTACATAGTTTATTCTATTTTCCTTTATATATTAAGTTTAAAATCATTTTTTATTTGCTTAATTAAAATCGTATATTAAAAATCTAACTTTTATGTATATGCTTAAATTTTCATATTCGGTTTATTCTTCTTCAAAATTAATTTTATAAAACTAGCATTTACAACTAGTGTTTATGTCTCAATAATTTTTTTGATACGTAAGAATACATAAAATATATACTCTATATTTTAAAGAAATCCGTGCATCGCACAGGACTAATCTAGTAATACATTAATGTAAAACACACTTGATAATATGATGCAATGTAACCAACAAAGTGATCTATTTGACTCTATTTCATAGAGTTCGACTGATTACTTATTGTAGATTTTTGTTTCTAATAATACATGAAAAATGTGGGTGGTGTAATGAAGGAATTATCTAATATAGTTAAATGGGTAATAAAGTGGATAAAATATCAGAGATAATGTAAAAATTACAAGGAGGTAATAAAATAGAATTGAATAATTGAATTTTTTGATTTGTATGGACTCGGTCTACAGTAAGTTATTGTAGACCCAAAATTTGACACTTTCAAATAATATAATCACATTTTGGATGATATAATCACTTTTTTAGACGATATAATTATCTTTTTGTGAGTCATATTTTGAATTATAAAATCTCATATTAAACCATTTAATGAGATTATATAATTATCTTTAGGATGATAAAATTTAAAAATCATTTTTTGAATGATGTAATTTACTATTTGATACTTTTATAATGATAAATTTACTTTTTGAGTGATACATTTACATAATAGTTTCAGGATGATATAATCACTTTTGTAGTAATATAATCACATTTCGTATGATATAATCAAATCCGTATGGTATACTAGAAAGTTGGGTCTACAATAAGTTATTGTAGACCGGGTCTATTCTAGTCTTTACCTTTAACGTATTAACATACCATACTATTTTTATTTTAATTTAAGGTATTAACATACCATAATATAGTTAAAAAAAAAATAATAAATAAATAAATTATTATGTTACACGTAGTATTGCAGTAACTAACGTTGATAAAAATCAAACACTAATTTTGTGAGAGAAAGTAATAGAACGTTGTCCTAGAATCATGGCCTTAAAAGCCAAGTTTCTCAACAGACCAAAAGAATCAAACAAGGGCATGTGCAGTTGAGCGACAAGTAACTAATGAGTTGATAAGTCCTGTCTTCTAATCAAACTGCTAAGTACACCACACGTGCTCGAAGTAGACCCACTTTTATATAATTCCATGTCTATATATATAACCCATAGTTTAAGCATCTTCTCATCAAAACATACATCAACAAATAATTTGCTTTCTAACCTACACAAGATTAAAACTTCAATTCTCTCTTTGGTTACTAGTTCAAAGCTTTCAAAACCGTGTTTATCACCTTAGTTTTTGCCTTAAATCTAGCAATGGAAAAGAGCAACGAAATCTCAAGTTATCATAATGATACCGAGTTGAGATTAGGCTTACCGGGAACTAATGGATCTGAAAAGAAAAGATCATTTTCAAAAATTAGTGAGGAATCTACTTCTGGTGTTGAAGATTGCCATGGCGACCACCAAATCTCACAAAGAAATTAAGTTAATCAAACTTTGATTTAAATCATATTCGCTTCACCTGATTTTTATCTGAATTTTTTTTATTCCCTTTATACATATATTTAGTCACATACCACATGATCATGTTACTAATTGATTTTTTTCTACTTATAATTTATAGGGTTCAAGCAGTCGGATGGCCTCCTATTAGATCATACCGAAAAAATTGCCTTCAAGCTACGAAATCACACGAAGAAAGCACAAGAATGTACGTAAAAGTTAGCATGGACGGAGCTCCTTACCTAAGAAAGGTTGATCTAAAACAATACAACGATTACAAGGAACTCTTAAAGGCCTTAGAAGAGTTGTTCAAATTTAAAGCTGGAAAGGATGAACCAACTTATGAAGACAAAGATGGAGATTGGATGTTGGTTGGAGATGTTCCATGGGAAATGTTTATTGGTTCTTGTAAACGACTTAGATTGATAAAAGGATCTGAAGTTAAAGGGTTGGCCTAAAAAATCTAATTAATAATCAACTTTTTGTGACAAATACATCGTAAATACTTAGTATAATTTTGTGAAGAATGATTTGCAAATCACAAAATTATGTAACACTATATAATACCATATACTTGGTTTAGTTTGATCAATTTTTATGTAAGATCATCTTTTTTTTTACCAAGGTGTAAATTAATACTCATCTCAATTTTATTCATGTTATAAATATAGCAAAGTTATCTTATAATCTTGATAAAAAAAAAAATTTAATAAAAAAATCTCTTATAATCATAATAAATATTTTTATTATTATCCAAGAGGCAAGAGCTACATATGTATGGTTGGAATAAGTTATATAATTTTTTATTATTTATATTTTGAAAGAAGTTGATAATTTATTCATCAATCAAAGCTTTGCTCAATGACGAGATATTAAACAAGAGGTAGACATTATTTTTGGTGACCACTTGAAATTATTACGGTTGAAAATGATCTTTTCCATTGTCCAAATATCTTTATAGGTGCGATTGCATTTAATAGGTCTTGATTAACAATGACAATTGGTGATTACAAACAATAATAGAAAAAGATTATAAATACAGTAATAATAGAGAAAATAAATAAAATTTAGGCCTAACATGTTAGGAAATAATTAAAACATTAATTGAGCAAAAAAACCAATAATATTATTGACATGATAACGGTATAAATTGTTGTAAATAAGGAGTAGTCTATTACAAATAGTATGAAAATATTAAGCAAGACCGAAAAATTGATCTCACAAAAGTAGGAAGAGTACAGTGTGTCGTGAAGCAAATTCACTGACTTGAAAACGAAATTCCGACGCAACCGGGGTGCTCAATTGTATTCGTTGGCACGTTCCCTAAGGTTAACACACCACTTCTACTCAAAGACACTTTTGGGTGGAAGGTTGGAGCCAAGTAATTTATGCCCAATATAGAGTATGTGTTTAGCTTGTGTTTGATATGTATTTCATAATGTGTGTGTAGCATAATAAAGACTTCTTCTATTTATAGAAAAACATAGAAGAATAATCCCATCAAACGTCAAGGGAGATGAATAATCAAATTGATGGTGGTAATTAATCTCCTTTAACATTCTCATAAAAGGGAAGGGTTATAAGAGTTACACAAGAGAAAAACGTTGGTGATTTATCACCTTAAACTTCTACTAAAATGAGGTGTTATGTGAGAATTATTCAATTGAAATTAAGAATGGGAAGTAGCATCTTGAATTCCCTTTCTTTATTCCAACAATCCCCCACTAAAGCAAGGGAAGAAAAAAACAAAGAAGAAGATAAGCAACATATTGGGCATAAGAGGAGATCAATACTTAACACTTAGATATTACATAAGTAATTTGAAATCTAGTGCTTAGTGAGATGAGGTAATGAATTACAAGTATAAGGGTGGACAAACCTTGAAATCCTTAGACTCTTAATCAAATAGTGGACTAGCCTTGAAACTCTAAGATTTAATCCAAGACCCTCACATCACATACATCACTCCAAAATTTACTTGAACTCCGCGAAGATATGTGCTTATTTATAGCTAAGCACATTCACCTTAGGTCTAGTGGAGGATCTAGAAAACTGGCCAAAGTTTTCATGGAAGATGGCTAATCTTCACAACCACATAGGTGAGTTCTTTAGTGTGCATCTCAATAGCACAAGAACCCATTAAGAGTTCAACAACTCAACCTCACAAACAAAGTCAAACATTACAAACATTATCACCATAGGAATTAGGACAAATGTAATGTATCATGTGGCTTAAGTCCTATTCCCCTCGATGATTCACCAACTTGTTTTCTTGCCAATCCTTTCGTCAAAGGATCCGCCAAGTTCTTTTCGGACCTCACATAGTCCAATGCAATCACTCCATTCTTAAGAAATTGCCTCAACACTTTGTGTCTCGTACGAATATATATGTCTCTTTTTGCCATTGTAGTTGCTATTATTGGCCACTCCAATTGCCGCTTGAGAGTCACAATGTATAGACACCGGTGATGAACTCTTCCCCCACAATGGTATGTCGGCTAGGAGGTTCCTAAGCCATTCCGCTTCATGACCTGCCAACTCAAGAGCAATAAGTTCAGATTCCATGGTGGAGCGAGCTAAACATGATTGTTTTGAGGACTTCCATGAAATAGCACCTCCACCCAAAATAAAAACATAGCCACTAACAAAATACGTACAATAACGTCACTCAGTTTATAATAAATACACAAAATATAAGAATATAGATGTACAACACAAATATACACAAAGTATGACAAAAGAAAATTCAAAAAGATGTAAAAAAAGAGATATGATTTAATATTGATGAACCATGGCCCTTGGGATTTTACCAATACCACCTAAAGGATCCAATATAGGGCATCTCAAGTAATGGTTGAAGGTTTTGATGAATAATGAGGGAGTTTTACGGCGGAGTTTTGATGGTGCATGCTTTGAATGTATGTGAAGGTATTATAGGGTGTTTTTGAAGGATTATTTGAGAGAAATTAGGGTTTATGGACTGGAAAAAATAGGTTTAGTGGTTGTCAAACTATGTAATTCAATTGGTTGGATGCCCCATATTCATATGGAAACAAGAAAAAAACAAAAAATAGGTCAAAGGACATATTTGTATCCAAACAGGGCGAACGTTAACACAACCCTCTGATTCTTATTGTGAGAATTTAATCTGTATTTCCCTAAACATAGTCTAAATAAACAGCGCATTGCACAACTCTTTAATAGAATGCACTAGAATTTGTAGTATGCACTAGACTATGTAGTATTGTGTAGGTCATACAAGTTGGTTGATGGCTTATTTTGCATTGGCTTAGTTTTAGACTTGTTTGAATATTAAGAGATCGTGAGTCATTTGATGCTAGCATGCATGAAATTTATGACTTGTGACACACGAATTTGATTCTTTGAGATTAAGGTTAAGCTATCATCGTCATTAAATGAGGAGGCACGATAAGCAGTGTGAAAATTTTCGCCTGTAAATTCATTTATTTACAAATTGAAAAAAAGTAGACAGTTGAGAATATATGATCAAATTATCATCTTGCCTTAATTCTTATGTATTGTTGTGTAATGTATACTATCAACTTAGCTTTTGAATAATCTTTTAGTAGTTTTATCACTTATGTTTGGGTTCTCAAATGATCCCTAATAAGCCCAAAGTGAGATTCAATATTAGTCAAAGTTGGCACAAGCTAGACCCTGGACTACATGACAACCAATTAATTAAGTCAAGGATGAAATTCACTTAGACGATACAAATGAAAGGGATTATTTAGGGATATCAATAAGGTGAGGCAATACTGATGTTGACCTACCCATCCTCACCTTAGTTGATATTTCCATCATTATCCTTGAGATGGGTCCAAAGCCCATCCTCATCTTTAGCCCAACCAGTGCAAGTTTAAAACCATTCATGCCCCACTTACCACCCACATGGATACCCATACCCATCTTATCCCCACCTTTCGTTCATGTCTCATCATCTAATTAATACTAATCTTAGGTGTTTAAGGTAATTTTACCCCGCCACGTGGCCCAATCAGAGGATGACACGTGTCAGCCCCAGGATGGCCCAAAGTGGACCTATTCCTGCTTGACACGTGTCACTCCAGAAACTTGGGGGCAATGACGACCTTCAGGCCCAAATCCCAAGAAAGCCGCAATGCGGCGCAGCCCACCAATGATTAGGGTTCAGTGACCTAATCAGGGGCACAAATCCCGAGGACCCTATAAATAGGGAGATTCCCCTCTTTTGAAGGGCACGTTTTACCATTTATTACAAACTGTCCCTGTGATAGAGACATCTGAGCTTGGAATCTGAGCAGATACCCACTTAAATTTCCTCACCTTTTTCTCTCCCTTCAAGTTAATAACTTGTTCGTCGGAGACGGAGCACCACCCAACCGGTGTCTCCGTTTGTTTTGCAAGTACAGGCCGCACCGGACCAGTCTTTGTGTTGTAACTCTCCCGAGGGACAAAAACACCCAAAACATTTGGCGCCGTCTGTGGGGAGAGTACCTTGAAGATGGTTCAAGAGTCTGTACCACCTCCTAACCGTCTGGGCGATGACCCAGAAGTCTTTACAGATCAGGAGGATGAAGATCCTCAGGTCGAAACCTATACAACCGATGATGGCTCTCTGATAACCAAGCGCATCCGGCCTAGAGAGACTTTGGAGCGGGGTGCCTCCCAGGCGGGTGCAAATCGACCGCCTATGCAGCCGGAAGGGAAACCCATATGGCAGCTGGATCAGCACCTGTCACCCGAGACGAACTCATGAGATTCATGACAAGTTTCAAGGGTGAAATTAAAGAACTGACCACTAAGAGCCGGCCTGGCCCAAGTAGGGGTCAGACGGTCAAGAAGGCTCCTCTGGAAAAGGGGAAGTCAGTCAGAGATCGGCAGCCCACTCCTCATCCAAAGGAGAAGGCAGCCGGGACCATTGATTGGTCCAAAATTCTTCTTCCTAAGAGGAATACCAACAATACCCGCCGGACCCAGCAACCGGTGGGAAGTAAAAAATCAACTCTTGATGCCCGGGAGATTATCAATCGGAAGAGAAATCAACAGTTGTCTGAGTCGGCTTCTACGTCGAATTTTCCAGACAACTTCAATAATACTTCTGCAGAGAATGCACTTTCCTTGCATGAGAGTCAGACATGCGGTAATACCGTCCACTCTAGCCCTTAGATGATCGGGACTGCACCATATGTTCCTTCTCAGGTCTACGGTCAGTACCCACCTTACTATATGCAGCCGACCCTCTTCGGAGGTCAGGCGGCATATCACAATGTCCAGCCACTGGACTGGAAGCTCCGTCTGCTTCGCCTGGGTGAACAACCTTCTGCGTTCACCCGGAAGATAACCAAGGCGGCACAGCCGGCCAAGGTTAAAAATGTGTTGGTAGGTACCTATGATGGTACCACCAACCCGGAAGATCACCTCATGGCTTACACCAACCTCATGTACTTACAGGGGTTGGATGATGCCGCTTGGTGTCGATGCTTCTCGGCTACATTGAAGGGCATTTCCCAACAATGGTTTGGCAACTTGCCAGCCGGGTCCATTGATAGCTTCAAGAAGCTAACCTTCCTGTTTTCCACCAACTTCTCCATGAACATCCCTGCTAAGAAAACGAGCCTTGATTTG